TTTTTTCTACTTTTGTGAGAAGTTTACCTAAGAGCTTGTATTTGATGTGTTGAGCGGCCACTGTGAATGCAGGAGATAGAAACTAAGATAACGAAGACGATTTTCGGAGAAGTAAAGGTTGCTTCACTTCACATTTAAAAGAAATATTCAACCGATATGAAATCTTGCGACGGCGAAAAAAGAAGAACTCAAGTGAAGGATAATCTACCTGAAGTGGAAGAAGACTTTGAAACTTCAAGGAAAATAATATGATATAGCCAGAAGTCATGTGTAGGATTTTTAAGATGAGCTCGGGAGGCTGTCTTTGACGGCTGTTTAATGATTTTCTTAGCAGTAAACGTCTGTAAACATCAGATCGTAGGTGCTCGCGCGAGCACACGCAATTGTCAGCGGTAGCTAAAACAGATCATGAGCAAATGTCGATCTTATAGAATCCAGATTTTTAAATGCGCGAGAACGCGCGTGGAAATTGCTAAACTCACGAAAGCTATTGCATGAAAACAAGTCCGGTGACCCCTTCTTTTTATTGTTCCAATATGATAATAATGTCGAAAGGAATCATCAGAAAAAAAAACTAGAAAATTATACGGAAGGAAATTTGCGATGTGTGAAAATTGCCCTTTTTGTAGATTTTCTGAAATTCCGCTCCGTAGAATTTTTTAAAAATCTTTGTGCATTTTCCTTTTCAAGTGCCAAAAGCAATCACTGAAAAAAATCAGGGGGTCACCGGGTTAGTTTTCGAATTATTTAAGCCACAAGCTAAAAAATGCGTCTGAATAAGCCTATGAAAGCGTTGCCATGGAAACTGCTAGTGACGAAATGACACTTATTTTTGGATAACCAATGATTATGTAATTCAACCCCGTAAAAGTGTTCAACTGGCCTTGGTCAGTCTTTCTGTTGTATTCTTTCAAAGTTACAAACCATCAAAAAGATGAAAACCGGTACGAGCCACCTTAAGGGATTAGGATCGACACACGCAGTGCGGCATTCGCTCGAAAAGTACGTGTTTAGCCGCGTTAACACTGGGACTTAAGTCAACTTCATGATGGATCAAACGACAGGGTTCATTTATTTGTTTAGGACTAGAATTTTCTCTGTATTTAGAAGTATTTACGTGGCATTCTTTCTGCAAATGAGAGATGGACACGCACGCTGGACTGGTTAAACTTTGTTTCAAAATGCAATTGATCGCTTTTCGTTTATTGCATAAAGCATCCTCGAAAAAATATTTTAAATAATTTAGTTTTAGTTTCCCTTTCAGTTTTAAGGGCCCACTATTAATGAAAATTTGCAAAGGAATGTTAATTGGTTTCCAAACTTTGCTAAAGACCTTCGGCTTGATAGCTAGTCGAGAAAAGTACGGAGGCATGGTTAATATTTCGAGAATTTCAGAAACGGTTACCGTGTCATTTTCCTCGCTTAAACTGCGTGCTATTTCACTCGCTAGCGTGCCATTTCACTCAGTGCCGAGCTCGACACTCTTCTTTGTTTCGAGTAACAAGTGCGTTTGTTCTTATCATACGATGGGAACAATAGAAAAATTCGTAGGCCGGCGTGTCATTACATTCACTGCCTTTTGTTTAGCCTGTCATCTCAGCGTGTCCGTGCGTTCACCTTTTCCCTGTTTTCCCGTGAAGGGTCACAAATATTTCTTCGTCCAAACTCAATTCTGCTGAGCTTGTAGTATGAGGACACGCTATTTTTCTAACAATACTTCCCCAATTTTTTTGCACAGGTGGGATAATTTTTCTGACCCTGAAAGTAGGATTTCTCAATATAAAGTCTGTGTTACGACTATGCCTGGAAATTGTACAGTCACCAAATACATCGAGGTGGGAATGGATGTCAATTTCACATTTCATGATTTACATCTACTTCATGGCGAATTATATTATGTTGTTGTTAAAGGAACAAACCCTATCGGAATGTCTTCGGAGACAACAACAAACCCAATATTGATCGATTCAACGCCACCAGTTTTGAAATACCCCGACACCGTTATAATCAACACCACTGGAGAAAATCCTACCGAAGACATTTCTGTTCATGAAGGGCTTCAAGGTAGCGATCATGTACGATTCAAGTGCTCTGAAGAATTACTGACGGCTGACTGGGATGAATTTGAAGATCCAGAGAGCCAATTAGAGCGGTATGACTGGTGTGTCGGAACATCTCAAGCCCGGTGTGATGTATTAGCTTTGAGATCGGTAGAAAAAAGGAGCCATGGAGCAGATATAACAAGAAGAATACCTTCAGGGACGATCCTTTTTACTACAGTATATGCCATAAATGGCGTAGGATTGAAAGTTCGTTTGGTATCTGAACAATGCGAGGTCATATCCGTTGCACCTAAGGCTGTAGAAGTTATCGATATTCCCACTTCGAACAGAACCACTCTTTCTGACATTGACTGGAAATCTATGGCACAAAGTTTGTCACTCAGATGGGAGATATTTGGAGGATATGTTGGAGATATTTCACGTTTTCATATTCAGGTAGCTATCACACAGCCTTCCTCGAACCTGTCTTTACCACAGATTGACTCGGAGAAGTCTTGGCGTAGGGAACCGCTTGTACACGATTTCATGGACGTTTTGGCATCGGAAAAAAATGTGACTCTTCAGGGTGTGGCTTTGGAGCCATGGGAACGTTATCGAGAAGTTGTAAGGATCTGGAACGAAGGAGGTATTTACAGTGATTCTGCGAGTGATGGACTGAGAATCGAGCCCGCTGCTCCTCCAGAGCGTGGATTATTCATCTTAGATAAAGCCGCCGAACAAGAGCCCCTACGTTGGCTACCAGGTATAAGATTGCCACCGGTTAATGACAGTGCATTAGACTCGGAGATAAAATATATTTCATCCCCTGGGGAGGTTGAATTGATTGTGAGAAGCGGCTTGAATGACTCTAGCGACAGAACAGCTTTTATTTTGGATCACAATCTTTTCAGTCCGACCAAGGAATTTAAAATTACTGTCGAAAGAGTTACGTCTGACGCGAACGAAACCAACACAACTGAGAATTTCCGCGTAATGAAAGTCTACCCGGGTTTCGCCGATCCCGATGGTCCATGTTGTGCTAGGCGACCACTTAATCCGCAATCTGTCTTCAGTGACACGCACTTCAAAACAACTATGCCCTCCCAGCATTTCGGTCTGTCTATCGTGAGGCTACTAAACGATCATTTTGCTGTTGGTTCTTCAAACAAGGCGTTTATTCTACCCCTTCGAAACAGAGCTGCGAGCCACATCACATTGCCAGATGACATAACAAGCCCCAAGGAAACGCCCATCCTGGTGTCATCACACGGGAGTAGGTCTGTTTTCTTGGCCAGTGGAATAGCTTATGTTTATCGAAGTGAAGTCAGTGACGTAGGCAATCTTGAATTAAAGAGGATTGCTATTCTGGGAAATTGCAAGAGTGTATCAACAGTACTTTGTGCTGCCAACAACACGTGGACCGATAATGTGAAGCATGTCATGGCCATTAATCAAAATACTGTCGCTATAACGGGAATCAACTCAACGACGAACAGCAGTGTTGTGGCCCTATTCCAAGAACGGAATGGAATGTGGAAGCTGGCACAAGTTTTGGGAAAAGAAAACAGTCATAATAATTTCGGACATTCATTGTCTTTGAACAAGCGTTTCTTAGCAGTAGCAACAGGAGAGGGGATGAACTCTAACATCTCGGTGTACTCTATTGAAACGTTTACATTGCTCATGACAATTGGCATTTCTGAGCACGAAAAAATTACAAGTCCCTTTTCACTTTATCTTACGGAGTCTGACGCACTAATAATGGTATCTGAGAAATCCAAGTCAGTCGATGTTTTACAGCTTAACATTATTTCAAGTTCCTACAAAGATGTGTGCGACTTTCAGGTTGCCTACAACGAGCATCTTAGTGGACACCTCGATGTCGTTGCCCGAGATGGAGGTTACATCATCGCATTGGGTATGCTGACATCAGAGGGCCGTGACGGTGTGCGACTGCTAGGTTTTCATGGGATCTTTACGGACAATAAACTTACAAAATGCGCAAATCTAGGACGTGTGATCGCACGAGAAAGTGGATTAAGAGTGGATAATGGAATTCCTCGTACCACCGTGTCCTTTATCAACGATACCGTTTTGTTTGGTGCTCCAGATGTTGTCGCATGGCCAGGACAGGGTGAAGATTCAGGTACTGGAAGGATTTATATAGCAACCTATTGCCCTATTGATCATGTTCGAGTTAGGGTATCCCATATAAAGGACATTGGGTCGGTACGTTGCACACCTTGCGAGGCTGGTCGGAAGTCATTTGGCGGGTTTGCAGAAATGTGCTCGGAGTGTGAAGGAATGTCATGCTCAACTCCCCAAAGCGACAATCCTTTCAGTTTTAAATCAAAGATTTGTGACGCAGTTTCATGTCACTCTCAATCGATTTTGAATGTATCGACAAACGGCTTGAACTTCTCCTTCGCGAACGGATCATTTTTTGTTCCTGGCCCGGAGAATCTGTACACTGTGCAGTTGCTTGAAACAACACGAGCCAATCTTTCAACAAGTTCCCTCTCAGAGTCATTCGTGATCGATCCGACTTCCCCTGATCCTGGACTTGTTTATGATGGACTTGGGAGCGATCCAAGCACGAACTGCTCGGACAATTCGACTTTCGGCGAAGACAGTCAGTGCTCTACTCGTGACTTTAAGGAAACGGATGTGGACTATACCTATAATACGCGAGAGGTACACGCCAGATGGCTTGACTTCCTTGATGAAGAAAGCGACATTGTAGAGTACTTCTGGTGTGTAGGCACTAAGCCTATGACAGACGACATTAGAGGATGTGAAAGTACTGGATTGAAGCCAAACGGAAGTCATTACGGTCTCAACTTTGGGCAAGGTGACACTTACTACGTGACAGTTATAGCCTGCAATGGAGCTCGCAGATGTTCCGCTGCTCATAGTGATGGCGTCACCATTGATACCACACCACCTGTGATGAAATATGTCAGGGATGGAATTATGGGACCTGATATGGATTTTCAGGTAAAAAAAGAGGTTGATATGTCATACCAATTTAAAAATTTATTCATGTCAAAATTGTTCTCTCATTTTCCGATTCTTACTCTGTCTATCATGCTTAGCGGATAAAAGAAAATTTAGCTTCAAGTTAATTTGTGCGTGTTGAGCTTTATCATCAAATGTATTTAACACAAAATTACTTAAGGTTTAGGAGAAGTTTTTTACGCTTTTACTCCTTTAATCGCTTATTTAGGCTTAGACACTGAAGTTGATTAAGGTAGCACGGAGAGCTTGTTTTATTCTCGCTCTCACTCTTGTCATGCATATACCTAAGGACACCTAAGTAAGGCTTCCTTGTTTAAGTAAGAGCAATTGTTTGATTTCACAAAAGAAATCATTACTAATAAAAGAAAAAATGCGCTAACACACTAGAGAAGTGTAGATATTTTGTGACAGAAAGTTATCAATTGTATAATTTCCCATCGATTGTTCACAGCACTGCCAAACTTCAACCTGTTTCCTTCCCAGGTCTTCGTTGATATCATCTTTGCTTATTTCTCCGCGAGTGACCCTGACAGTAATGTGACATCATACGAGATTGCTTGGGGAACTGCACCTGGTTTAACGGATGTCAAGGAGTTCGAGGAAGTTACAAACACCACAATATGGCTGGCTAAATTCAAAGACAACGCCCTTGGCGTAGACAACAGATACTATGCCACTGTTCGTGCTACAAACGGAGCTGGCCTGCTTTCGGAAGAGCTGTCATCCAACGGAATAGTAGTCGGCAAGTCGGAATTTGTTTTTGATAACGCAACTAGTGCTGAGTTTTTCTTTGATACGGTGAACGTTAAAGAAGACGGGACGCGTAAGGATGGAGGAGTTGGAAAGACATACGGGACATTGACTGTACCTGAAGGTGCTGTCGAGGAACAAGTGAAGTTGAGATCGTACAGTTTGGATGACAAAACAATGGATACAAACAAGACCGAGGAGGGTCCCGTCAGTAACCCTACTTACACCAGACCTAAGGTATGTGTTGGTCAGATTGAATATTTGTTTTTGTTTGTCCTTCTCTCTTTCTTCCTTATATTCGGTTTCGAGTTGTCTTTTGTTTGTTCGTCGGCTTGTTTGTGAGTGCGTTTCTTTTTTCATTTTTCATTATTAAAGCCTATGACGTGGCTCGAAGACGAGCATGGAAAGTTATTATAGGGTTTATAGAAAATAAGCTTTAAAGAATAAAGGTTGTAAAAGGTGTTGAACAATTTAGTAAGTTATTTTATAAAATCCCGTGTGCATTGACTCTTGTATCAGTAGTAGGTTGCCACTTGAGTGTCATCGAAGTGTTAATTACGAATGACAACTAAAAGATCACTAATATGTGTTTGTTTCTCGATTAAACAGCAATTCATGCTCGGGAATTACAGTTTTGTCATCAAGGCGTTAGACCCACAGAACAACACAGTGAAAGAAGGCTTCCAGTTTGCTAAACCAATCACAATTGCTATGTTCTACGACGTTGATAACCTGGTGAAAGCCAACAGTGAGCATGTCAATAACGAACTTACCAAAGAAGATATAGACCCTGTGTTGTATCTGTGGGATTCGAAGAATGCAAGCTGGTGAGTTAATCGCTGGAGAGATTTTAAAAACGAAACATTAAAAAAAGAAATAAATAGATAGAAGACATAAAAGGACAATCACGTTTATAGAAAAGTATTCGCTAACAAAGCTTCTGCGGACGCGAATTTCGAAAACTTTCGAGGTTTTTGTAACAGGATAATAAGTAGTCAGTTGCTTTGTTGATTGATTAATCACCTTATTAACTGGCTGGGTGACTGAAATAAGGGTGGTTAATTGAATTGTAAGAGAAGTTCGCTGTTTGCCTCTTTGCTTTCTTTTCATCGCGTAGGTTTGATGCCGCGCTCACGTGCCCTGAGCCCTGGAGTCACGTGAACAAGTCAATCAATCTGTTAACTGTGAAAGTCTGTCACCTGACTCAGTTTTCATTCCTTTGGTCATTCTACGCTCAAAATGGTTTGGTTCTCTTCGACAAAAACAATTCAAGTAAGTGTATCTATTATGCTTCAAAGTGTCCCTTTGAATTAAAAGAAAAGCTCAACGAGCCCTATGGTAATAATTTATCCTTGGAGCACAAAGCTAACACCTTATTCATGAGACAGTTTATGATAAAGGTCGTTACCTTAATAGACTTTCGATTCCAAACACGTTGACACCTAAGAACCGTTAGCAATGAACGATGGGGCCCATAGGCTTTTTGGGTACACATGTGCATGATAACCACAATTGGTGGCACATGATATCAGATGGTTCAGTGTATCATAAAATCCTCCTTCTTCTTCTTAACTATGTCATAAGAAATTTATCGCAACCAGAGCTGAAAAGTCTGAATCAGACTTTCAAAGTTGTAGCCCTTTTGTTTCATTGACATCTATACATTAACAATTTAAAGCTTGATCCTTAGATAACTAAGTTTGCTGTTTTTCGAACTAACTGCCACAGTCATGCTTCAGGCCGCCTAAATATCAGACAGTTTTTAGAAAAAAATTCGACTAACATTACTAATTGTTAAATTTTGGAAACACTCTCCTTGTTTTCCTCAGTTTGCCCTGATATCTCGTGTTGTAATCTCCTATCTCTCCATAGTGTACAACGGAGATGGAGTGGTAGAAGTTACCCGTTCCAGACGCGTCACAAAACTAGAATTTCAATTGCGAAGAGCGAAAGGTTCCCAGGGTGACATAACAGTACAATGGTCTCTGTACCAAAATGATTCATCAGACAGTATGGAGCTCCTGTGGCCGAAGTCTGGACAAGTGTCTTTTACAGATGGACAGTGGAACCACTCGTTTATCATCAATGTCGACAATAACGAGGAAGAAGTACAGCAGAGTGTGGTCTGGGTCCAACTGGACGAGACCACAGGCGGTGCTGTCCTTGCATCCCGTGATAAAACTTCTGCAAAGATTTTAATCAGTGGAAATGAAGAGCAGACTGGGACCTGGCGGTGGATTGTGACCGGCGTCTTTTGCGGGGTGCTTTTGATTTTTGTTGGTGTTTTTGTGTATAGCCTACGCAAAAGGAAACAAGAATCCCAGAGGTAATGTTAGATGGGCATTCTTATGTGCATGTTGTGATAAGTGGTAACATTTCAGATTTACCTTATAACCTATCTTGTGGCAAAATCTGGTTCCCCAATAATTATTTCGGTATACCCCTGGAAAGAGATCCCGAATTCTTCTCTGGTCGGGCTCATATATCCTGTTCTTTGGCAAGACACTCCAGTCTAGCATTGTCTATGTTCGTATAGGACTTTGAATAGGTGCCTGAAAGCTTTCCAGTAACCTAGTACTGCGATAGACTATGATAATCGTTCCGCTCAAAAGAAGAGGAAATAGTCCAAGTCGTACAATTACAAATATTATATAAATCGACCCAAACTTCAGGCATGAAGGTCAAAAGGCTCTTAAGACTCAATATGATGCTATTATCGTACTTTTGTAGGACTAATCATAGCAGAACTGAGATTGAGCTTCCCTCCTGTGGTTCAATGCAAAGAGAACGAGGCTTGGCTGGTGAACAGATGTATTCTAACGATGTTGATCCACTAGAACCGGACCCGCAAACTGTTTCAGAAATGTATGATAGCGATATCGGGAAACCGCCTGTCTCTCCCAAAAGAACACACCGGTGAGTCTTAATAAGAGACTCTTTTTCCGCTATGTATAGTTTGTATTATGGAGGATAACGTCTGACATACGCTCTCGAGTAGGAGGAATCAAAACCGGGCTTAGTTTTAAAACTGGATCGGTGGAAAAATGACCTTGAAGTAACCGATATTGAATGAAGATGTATATTGATTTTTATCTAACGCAGGGCTGTGTCTCCTCTGTTGTGTGCCCCTGTCATGCGTCTTGCGTGGCACCTGGAACAGACTAGTGCCCAGGAACAGGGCAATCTTAACACGTGTGGAAAGTCGGTACCTCATAAAGGAAGCGATAGCAAGCTGCAATCAACTTTTGGAAAGAAGAAAAGGAATAAAACCAGATTGACAAGTACGGTAATTTTTAGTTAATTTTCCCTTCTGTTCCTTCTATCGATAGCTTTCCTTCCGCCGTCAAAATGCTTTTCAAGTTAACAGAGAAAAATTGCGGTATAAGAACAGCTGAGTGTTTTTAAATGATAAAACTCTTTTCAACTGGAGTGAGAGGGTAAAACCAACGGTATCATAACGGCAATTTAGTAAACGCATATCAACGCATTCAAGCAAGAGAAAATGCGAAACTCGTTGCGAAGTTAGGGCAAGTTCTCTGGATCAATCACAGAGCGAAACAAATAAAAATTAGAGACTTTAAGCAGTCAAGATGGCAACGCCACAGCAGACGTCGATTAAAAAGTGAGTTTCTACTTTTAGTTAGAATTTCGAAAATGGCTGCATGTGTTTACTGTCTCATATGGCGCAACACCTCTAACTCAACATAACGCATGAAAGTAGCGTTGAGTTCCAAATGTAAATTAAAATAATTTGCCGCCGCGGTTTCGCTTCGCAGACGACGCAAATTTTGGTGATTTCACATTATTGTTTTGCAAAGGACGGGTAAGAAATGTACAAAGTTTAAAACGCACGTGCTTGGCTATTATTCTGCCAATTAGATCTATTGTTTTTCCACGTTCTCGTTGCCGTAGCCGTCTTGGTTTGCTTAAAGTCCCTTTTAATACAACTCAAAACTTCGTTGATTTGAAATCCAATTGACTATATTTTTTTCTCGTTTGCATATATTTTTTTTCGGCGTGAATTTCTCTTTTGTTTTCAACGTCGACGCATGAGGGAAGAAGCAAATCTTTACTTTTATCAAGGTGGCAAGAGGGTTGGCGTGTCGTTGTGGAAAACTACACCTTATCTTATGTTAATGCTTTGCATAATGTAATCATGCTTCTAGAACGCAGCAGCACGACCTCAAAAGACAAGTACTGTGATGGCCATGAACTAGTCCTCACCCCGGTTAGCGGCGATGATGAAATGGAATCATCGTCTTCGTCATTGAAATTGGTGGACATGGGGCTAACCAACCCCCTCTATGAGAGTGTGCTGAATTATTCAGAAGTCTCTGATGCTGACTCGGTACGACGTGAGGAGAAAAGCAACTCTAAATCCGAGGAAAGGAAAAAGATTTACATGAGGTATGGACCTTTTTCCCACAGAATCTAATTTGTTTTTTTGTTTCAACTGTTGTTTTCTTTATACCTTTAGTTCGGTTTCGGGATGTCGTTTCGTTTCATATTGTAGTAAGAATGTGTTGTTCATCTCTTGAGTGCGCGAAAATGTGTCATCAAAAACTCGCAAAAGGATGGCGAAACATTACCTCTAAGGTTTCATTGGAAAATAGAGAGATTTAGAACCGTGTTTACGCGAAACGTGGAGGGCAAGAGTGACCGGGTGACATTGTTTTCCCCGCTATATTTTCACGCTTGGCGGTTGCACTGTGCCGTTTCTACGTGAAGGTAACCTGTTTCGCGTTTGCCGTGTACGTAAGATTCTCTTCTCTTTTTCTCTCACAGAGTAGAAGTTAATTGCCGGAAAAAGGGCAGGAAAATTATTCCCTGTCAGCTACCAGGGGCGCCTCAAATCCACCATGACGTGAACTCACGCGAAGCTAAAGCAGCAAGGTTCACGTTATTTAACGTGAAACGCGAAAGGGCGAGCTAACCTTTGTTGTTTCACGTAAACGCGGTGCTAAATCTCTCTAATAATAAACGATCAACGACAGACCCCAAGGGTAGCATTTAATTTTTTTTTCCAAGAATCTCAATGTTCCCGAGGTGGCGCCAAGGGAACATTGGGAGTCTGCACAGTTGTGAAGAAAATTCGGCTAAATTACAATGACAGTTAATACCACGATTACACATGCCCGACAAACTTAAAAACCCAAGTTTGTTTTCACGATTGGCCCCACTGTCCACAATAACTCGGATAAATTGCCGTCACAAATAGAACCTTTCGAGAATATCTTTAAACTAGATAACTTTTAAAACAGCGTATCTTTGTTTCATTATGGAGAGGAAACAGATTTCGTAGGGCAGCGGCTGATGTTACTGCTAATTGTAAATTTTAGCTGCTGAATAAGCACCTTTCTTTGCGCATGTTTAGTGCAGAGTATGACTCTTGTATTTTCAGATATCATTTTTCCGATGAAGCAGAAAAAAAGCATCCTATCCATATCCCGATGGGTTAAGAGGTTCTGGTCTGGCTTGATTCCTGGTCGGGTTCATATATCCTGATCTTTGGCAAGACACTTCATTCTAGCATTGTTTACGTTCGCAAAGGACATGAAATGTGTACCCGAAGGCTTTCCAATAACCTAGTCGAGGTTCCCAAGGAATCCCTGTGATAGACCATGATAATCGGTCCGCTCAATAGAAGAGGAAATAGTCCAAGTCGTACACATATAATAGAAATTGACCCATGCTTCAGGCATGAAGGTAAAAAGGCTCTTAAGACTCAATGCTACTATCGTATTGGTGTAGGACTGAACGAAGCAGAACTGAGATTGAGCTTCCCCAGTTGGCTGGTAAAAAGATGTATTCTAGCGATGTTCATCCACCAGAGCCGGACCCGGAAACTGTTTCAGAAATGTATGGTGGTGATTTGAGGAGACCGTCTGTCTCTCCCAATAAAACACACAGGTGAGTCTTTGCGAGAAACTCTTCGTTCTCGAGTAAGAGGAATCAAAACAGGATTTAACTTTGATACTGGATAGGAGGAAAAATTGACCTTGAAGTAATCGATATCGAATGAAAATGAATATTGATTTTTTTCTATCACAGGGCCGTGTCTCCTCTGTCGTGTACCTCTGAGACGCGTCTTGCGTGGCACCCGCAACAGACTAGTGCCCAGGAACAGGGAAAGCTTAGCACAAGTGGAGAGTCGGTACCTCGTGAAGGAAGCGATAGCAAGCTGCGATCAACTTTTGGAAAGGAGAAAAGTAATGAAAACAGATTGACAAGTACAATAGTTTTTGGTTGATTTTCCCTGTGGTTGCTTCTACTTGTAGGTCTCCTTCCGCAGTCAAATTCTTTTCAAGCTAACAGAGAAAAGCTACGGTATTGGAACAGGGGCTGAGTATTTTTAAATGATATAACTTTTTATCGTCATATCGGCAATTCAGAAAAAAAAAGAGAATACGATAAGGAGCTGATGAAAAATCTAAGTAAACGCATATCAACGGATTCAAGCAGGGAAAAATGCGAAACTCGTTGCAAAGTTAGTGAAAGTTCTCCAGACCAGTCAAAGAACGAATCAAATAAAAATCAATTCAACCCAAGATTTCGTTGATTTGAAACCCAATTGATTATATTTTTTTCTCACTTGCATATATTTTTTACGGAGTGAATTTCTCTTTTGTTTTCCACGTCGACTCATAAGGGAAGAAGCGAATCTTTACTTTGATCGAGGAGGCAGGGGATCTTAGGAGGTTTGGCGTGCTGTTGTGGAAAACTACGGCTTATTTTATGTTAATGCTTTGCATAATGTAATCATGCTTCTAGAACGCCGCAGCACGACCTCAAAAGACAAGTACTATGATGGCCATGAGCTAGTCCTCACCCCGGTTAGCGGCGATGATGAAATGGAATCATCGTCTTCGTCATTGAAATTGGTGGACATGAGGCTAACCAACCCCCTCTATGAGAGTGTGCTGAATTGTTCTCCAGAAGTCTCTGATGCTGACTCGCTACGACGTGAGGAGAAAGGCAACTCTAAATTCGAGGAAAGGAAAAAGATTTACATGAGGTATGGACCTTTTTCACACAGAATCTAATTTGCTTTTTGTTTTAACTGGTGTTTTCTTTATACCTGTAGTTCGGTTTCGTATCGTAGTAAGAATGTATTTTTCGTGTTTTGAGTGGGCGAAAATAAGCCAGCAAAAACGGATTTCGAAAAAGGTTTCATTGGACAATAATAAAAGATCAACGACAGACCCCAGGGATAACATTTAATTTTTTTTTTCTCAAGAATCTCAATGTTCCCGAGGTGGCGCCGAGGGAACATTGGGAGTATGGACTGTTGCGAAATAAATCCGGCTAAATTACAATGACAGTTAATACCAGGATTACACATGCCCGACAAACTTAAAAGCTCAAGTTTGTTTTCACGATTAGCCCCGCTGTCCACAATAACTGTCTCGGATAAATCGTCCATCAAAAATGAAACCCTTAAAACTAGATAAGTTCTAAAACAGCGTATCTTTGTTTCACTATGGAGAGGAAACAGATTTCGTAGGGTAGCGGCTGATGTTACTGCTAATTTTAATTTTTAGCTGAGTAACAAGAACCTTTCTATGCGAAAGTTTAGTGCAGAGTATGACTCTTGCACTTTCACATATCGATTTTTTCGGTGAAGAAGAAAAAAGCATCCTATCCATATCCCCGATATGGACTTTAATAAAACATCTGTCGCGTTTTTACTGTGAAAATGCCTTTTTGAACTGGGAAAACATTTTTTACTGAAGAAACTTCGCATTTGAAGAAACTACAAAACTTAGTTTGAAACAAACAGACAAACTATTAAAAGCAAAGGATCAGTTTTATTATTACCTATAACCCTCAAGTGGGGCGGACAGAATCTCATTCATACATTTGAATATGATTGTCACTTACTGCTAACAATGCAATTTTTCTAGAACGACGAAGGGAAATCGAGTTGACACCCAGGATGGGTATGCATTCAAGTGAAATCATCCTTCGATTAGAAGACTCAACACTAACAAAATTGATGCAGTGGAGTTAATGATGAGATGAAAGGAAGTAAACGAAATGGAGGACAATACAAAACTACATCACACTGAAATGTAGCACTTTGTAAACTAGACATACTTCTTCTTAAATCGCTTCCTATGATTTTTCATTTGGGAAGTTCTTTTAATATGTTTGACTTTCATTAGCTAAGGTCGTAAGCAAGCGGAGTGTATGTTATTTGGCGCTGGACCCAGGCTAGCACTTTCTACTTCTCTCTCTGTAGTTATTGACGGAAAATCACTTAATCGCGCTTCTGAGTATAAGTATATTGGAGTTGTTCTCGATGCGTCGCTTATGTGGAATGTGCACGTTGAGTACTTGATCGTTAAGGTTAAGAAGAGATTAGGAAAAACATAAATATGTACACAGCAGGTACTGTTGACACGTCGTTTGTCCTGCCTATTCTGGCTTGATTTCTGCGACACTGAGTGGAGCTGCTGTGGGAGTGTTACCGCTGATAAGTCGAAGAAGTGTAGAGGCGCGCTGCTCGTATTGTTATGCGTCTGGGGAACAGCGAAAATGCGCCAAATGTTTTAGGTTAGGTAACTAGAAAAGGCGTGGAAGCCATGTACGTACTGAGTCTAGTTAAGAAATGCTTAAATAACCGTTGTCCATAGTTCTTTATGTATTGCTTTACTTATAACAAGGATGTATTGCCCAGAACAACAAGGAGCAGTGGTAAACTTAGACTCCCGTCCATAAAGTTAGAATGTACGAAAAAGGCTTTCTTTATCGGGGCTGTGTAATTTTTAATCAGATTTAGTTTTTGAGATTTTTATGATTTTTTTTTAAACTTAATTCTTAAGTCCTTTACAAAACATTTTATAGCTATTTTTAATTGTACTTAATTATCACTATTATTTCTATTCAATTTAGTTTTTCATCTTTTATCTTGTACAAAAACTAAAGGAGTGACTCTTTTGAAATATGGTTCTATTGTTATTCTCCTTTAAGAAGGGTGCTTAGCGCCAAAATTAGAAATTCTCTTACGCAGTTCTAACATGGTGTTTTATACACTTTAGTGCCATACGTTAACATGCAACATACCTGACAAGTTTGTGATTTCCGTCGATATGCCATAATGCCAGGGGGCTTCTAACTTGATACTTTCTCCTTTGTACAATGTTCTAGTCTAAAGCTCGCAAAAGTGTTCCTTCCGGGTTAACCCTTCTCATTGCCTCGCGAATACGTTGTTGCTGAATTCGTACATTGCGGGAAAACAAAAATCCTGTAATGCGCTTCTGTCCCGTGTTTGGAAAGTTTCTTAGCATATTGGTAATTTGTGCATCTAATTCTTCTATGAAATTTCTCCAATCGCCTCTTTACGGTTCGTTTACCTACCCCGAGAAGAACCCGAACAGCTATATATTTCACAGGCAGCCCAAGCCCACTACTAGAAAAGCGGACGTGACTCTTACCGTGTTGCGCAACGTTTTATATTTAAAAAGGTTTGTATGGGATGTTATCGGTTTGCCTTAAAAGAGAGCAAAAAAATGTCTTGTTTTGAAATAAAATGGACTTACCTTGTTGCCTTTCCATTTTGAAGCGTTTTCGGCGAGTTAGCGCTACAACTAGCGCTCACTCGCCGATAACGCTTCAAAATGGCCTGAGACGCTAGGAATCAACAAAGAAAACAACAAGGCAATAAGGTATGTCCATTTTTTTTTCAAAACAAGACATTTTTCCTCTCTTTTAAGGCAAACCGATAACATCCCATACAAACCTTTATAAATATAAAACGTTGCGCAACACGGTAAGAGTCACGTTCACTTTTCTGGTAGTGAGCTTGGGCTGCCTGTGTATATTTCAGCTGTGCTGAACCTCTTTTGAACCAAGGATTCCAGTTGTTCTCTGGAAACATTATATCTTGGTCTACCAGAACTACCAGTAAACACTCTTCCTAATTTATACATCACATCATTGTCGTTCAACTTGAAACTGTCAACGGTTTCTCTCACAGCGGTGACAATTAACACTTTCGTCAACAAATCCAATATCAAAACATCTTAGTATAATTTCATAAAGGCGATCTATTCGGTTTTGCACATGATCCAAGGTGTCAGAAGAATTATTTCCCGACTCCAGTTGTCTCAAAATATCAAAAAGAACGTTGCGAA